AGCTCAATCATAATCAAGTATAGAGGAGAGGGAGGGAGGATCTTAAGCAAGATAATTATGGTATTTTAGAAAAAATTTATCATATTTTTCATAATTAACTAACTTTCCTAACTTTATTAATTTAATCAAATTAATTATATAGATTTTATATTATGTGTACTATTGTTAATACCTCACTTAATGATTTATAATAAGAACTATTTGTTCTTTCTAGAAATTGCTTTTATGATAGACACGGGAGTGATCAATAATTACTTAAAGATAATATCTAGGTCGAGTTCTTTATATCTATTATGTCAAGTTATCTAATCACACATAATTTTATGTTCTCTTTTCAAAAACTTTATCATTAGTTAAATTACAAACCCATATAAAAAAAAGACACATGACTATTTGTGATTGGAGAATTTCATATATAAAATATGCTTCTCTAGTCCTATTTACAGGGTAGAGAGAGAATACATTTTTTGATCATATTTATAGGACACTCAGAAATTTTTTTTATATAGATGTATAATTTTATCCTTTATTTATTATTGTGTTAAATTTGGTTATATGAGGTATAATATATATTAAATAGGAATAAAATTAAAAATTTATTAAATTTTAAATAAAAATTAATAAGTTAAAAGTCTTTCTTGATCAGTATAAAATAAATACATTAAAAATGATTTATAAATAAAAAGATATGCGGACAACGTCCCAATAATTCATAGCCTCCGTACCCACATGCCAGTCGCTGTATCAATGCAAAGAAAGCAGAGAACCCGACTCCTCTCCAATCATTGCCCTGCATGTCTGCTATACGTCCCAAAAAAAATAAACGCTTTACACACGTTTTATAGGACCCAGCTATAAAATTTTCGACTCTTCTCCTAAATATTATTGGAATAAAATATTTAAATATCTCAAAAGTATTTATAAATAAATATTAAATACCTGAAAGATTTTTTTGGTTCTTTATGTCCTTGAAGTTTTATATCACAATATTTCTACCTTGAAAGTTATCTATTACTCGTATTAATTATTAAGTTTGACTGTCAAACTATGATCAAATAATGATTAGGATATTTTTGTTACAAAAATAAATTTTCAAAATATATAAGAGTTAAGAAAACTTTCAAGTGTTGAGTATTAAGCACCATATCCCAATATCTTTTACCAAGGACCCCATCCTTCGTTTTTTTTTTTTTTTAAATTCTAACTGGATATTTTTCTGAAATAGTAACTTAAAGGGGTGTGTGTATGATAGGACAAAAGTGAGTTTGATAAATATATAAAAATTTTACGATAAAAAAATTAGCACTATTACTTCTAAGTATGAACACTAGCAGAGCGTGTTTGGTTCGTTGGAGTTATTGGAGGGAAAAGATATAAACAGCGAGTACTATTCAAGCGAAGAATTTGGACAAATATGTAATCTTACCTTAATTTCCGTAACGAACACAGTATTACAGCAACATTAATTCCATCAGTCTATTGATGGAATAATTTGTTGGATGCTTTTAATTCCACAGGGAATGAGGAAAGGAATAAAAGTCATCATTTATCTCAAAAATGCCTGTGCCAGGTTCATTTGCCTTTTCCCATGCCAATCCATTTATTTTCTATAAAAGTCGGAGTTCTCTGATCACATGCGATCACATATTTTATTTTAAAAAATATTTAATAATATTTAAATATATATTCATATAAAATAAAAAGACATATGACTCTATAATTAGAGAATTTAACATAATTATAAATTCACATGAAATAAAAAAAACATACATTTAAGTAACGCTGCACAAGCTTTTTTCCCAGAAAAATAGAAAAGAATATATATGAAGTGGTCAAACACTGTGGGACCTAGGAAGCGGTTAAAACAGAAGGCTTGCGTCTATATAATCCTACATTTGATACACCATGTATATCATATACCTCTTAGAAAGTAGCTTAAAGTACACATTTGCTCTTATAACTTTGTATAAAGTTTTAATTTAGTCCTTTAATTTTAAAAAGTATATTTTTAGTCTTTTAACTCTAAATTTTTTAAAAATGATGACATTAAAATCTTAAATATTGATAAAATATTCTCAAATGCTAACATATTAAGTTTAATTTTTAAAATATTCATGATTGTTACAAAAAATTATCATTGAAGCCTAATGATTTGAGGGTTAAAGGACCAAATGTATATTTTTTAAAGTTAAGGGATTAAATTGAAACTTTGTATAAAGTTAAAGGACAAAAAGCATACTTTAGCCTAAAAAGTATTATACTCCCCCTCCTTAATATAAAAACTAAATAACTAATTTAGGAAGATTAAAATAATTAGTTAAATTAGTTAAATATAATAAATATTTGTTGATTTTTTTAAATTACCCTATTTCATCATGTGCATGAAATTGTCCCTTGTTAGGATTATGGTTTTGATGATAACAAAGTTAGATTAAAATTGGTTAGGTATGTTGATCGATCATCTGATCGATCAAATGATTATCGATAAGCTGTCAGATAATTGTTCAGTATAAATCAAATCTATGTTAAGTATTTTAATCGATAAGATGTTCGGTAATTCATTAACAGATAAAATGATCGATCATCGTTAACGTGAAAGTCATAGAAGGTAACTGTCGGTTATCGATAGTTTAATCGATAATCTCAGATGATTGAACAAGTGACAGACAAAAAGAAGTGAATCTGGACTGATCTTATCGATCAAGTAATCGATAAATGCATTATCGATAACGACATCAATAAATGGTAAGACACTCTACTGTTTGAATATTGTTTCTAGCATTGTTTATCGATCACATTATCAATCACCTTATTATCGATAATATGATCGAAAATTGAGCTTTAACCCTCTTAAATGCAGTTACTGATTTTAGACTATTAATCGATAACTTTATCAATCATCAAGTTATCGATAACATGATCGATAATCTATGTGCCAGTTGCTTCTACTGAGTTTTCTTTAGAACTAAGTTATCGATAACCTTATCGATAATTAAGGCTTCCCTACTTACCCTGTTTTCAGATAACATGATCGATAAACAGCTTTAGTACCAATTCTTCCTATCACTATTTATCGATAATCTGATCGAACATGTCTTGATCGATCACCTATTCGATAAATCTTGAATATCCTTGTTTCTCACGAAAAGTTTTATACTTGACTTTTATCGATAATGTGTTCGATCAACATACACTAAAGTTTTAATTCTGTAACACTTGAATTATCGATAAATTGATCAATCAACCTTTACTCAATAATCTAATCGATCATTTGATTCCTGTCAGTTTATTTCCAGCAAGCTATAACATTTCACATACTCACTTGACTACTCACTTTCAAGTTGTTTCTGCTTGCACAATCCTCATGATTACTGAAATAAGTAATGCATATTTAAAGGAACTCTGATTTACATATCAATCGAAGATTTCCTGTTGCCCTTTATCGATCACCTGATCGATAAACCATTGCTCCATCATTTGATCGATAAACATCTTCAACTAATCGAATGTTTCTCTTTTGGTTTTTTCTTCGATAACCAAATCGATCAATCAGTAATCGATCACCTCTTCGATTAACCATTTCCAGAATTTCCTTTTACAACTTTTACGGATAATTCATTTCATCTAGAATCATTGAGTAATCAATTAGTCATTCATCTTTATAAGCTTACACCATATTATTCTTACTTGTTTAAGTTTAAAATATGGATGCAGATTACTAAGAGAAATTACAACGGCTCTTCAACGAGATTACGTAACCTGTAACCCGTAGTGTCAGAAAGCTCAGACGCATTAGTGGCGGAACCGTTGGAATTGGCTAAACACGCAAGCGGAGTCACAACGACTAGAAGTTCTTCCGTCTAACGGATACTCAATGATCTCAACTATAAAAGACGCGAAGAAGCATTAATGAGAGAATTGAATACTGGAGCTACCATCTGTGATTATTAAGTCTAGCATTCAATACTTTGTTTCTTCAATACTATTGAGCATCAGTGTTTATCATTAAATTTCACTCTGTAAGAGAGTCGATTCCTACTCTTTATTAACTACTATTGAGTGATACTCAAGAGTGTGGACTCTTGAGCGGGTTTGTATCCTTACGGGAGTAAGGGGGAGTGATTGAGTGATTCAATTACTTATTGTACTGAGGCACCAAGAGCCCGAACAATCTTGGAGGATAGTGGAATACTCAGAGGTGTTCTGAGGACTGGACATAGGTCAAGTGGTTAAGACCGAACCAGTATAAATCCTGTGTTTTCTCTTTGCGGTGAAATCTTCCTTAATTCTATCTCTCTGTTTCCGATATTTTTTTATTTCCAAGAATTTTTTTTACTCACCCAATTCACCCCCCTCTTGGGTGAGATTAGTTCTAACATCCCTTGATAAGACCCTTTACAATTAATAGGATATTTTAGAAAAAAATTATAAATTTTAGAGAGAAAATGAAATAATATCTTATATTTATGATTAAATTCAATTCTCAACTAGCTTTTATATGAATATTATTAAGGACTAAGGACCAAAGGTAGCACTTTGTTTTATGAAGAGAAAGAGTGAGAGACATAATGAATGGAATGATACAATATGTTTTTGAAAATTTCAGATATTCCCTAAATATATCTCATAAATAAGATCATGCCTACCACAAAAATTGTATTTTATATATAAAGACTGCTGGAGGGAGCTAGGCGTTTACTGCTAAGAAAGACGAAATGAAATTCTCAAGGACAAAAGAATCACCAGATCAATTATTAGATCTCTTATTATATACTAGTATTTTATTTGTCGAGAAGATCTTTTATAAAACAATATCTTTTCTGCAAAATATCTTTCTCAATGTCCCCATTACTTCACTTTCACGACGTAAAGATATAATAATAGTAGTAGTAAATAATAATAAAACCCATTAAATCACATTTTAATTTGTGTTCTATAAATTGCTCACATCTTCTCTTTTTTTCCTCACCGCCACAATAATAATCCTTGGTTCCTCCTATATCCCATTTTCTGAGAAAGATGAAGACATTTTCTTCTTCTACAAACCATTTCTTCATCTCCATCTTCATAATATTTTTTTCAATAATCTCAATCTCATCATCTACTTCTGAAAAACCCTACCAAGATGCGAACACATACTTCATCAGAACATCTTGTAATTCCACAGCCTACCCAAGGCTCTGCTTTGCCTCCTTATCAAAGCACGCTGGCTTCATACAAACCAACCGCGTCCTCCTGACCAGTGCCGCCCTGAACGTGACTCTGGCGTCGGCAAAGGCGACGTCGGTGATGATTTCGACGATGTCCAAGAGCTATGGGATAATGAAGCCAAGGGAGGCCGCGGCGATGAGAGATTGCCTGGAGGAGCTGCGTGACTCGGTGGATGAACTCAGAAAGTCCATTGGTAAGATGAGTCAACTCGGAGACTCCAACTTTGAGGTCACCATGAATGATGTTCAGACCTGGGTTTCTGCTGCTTTGACTGATGAGAGTACTTGCACTGATGGGTTTCAAGGAGTTAATGGAAATTTGAAGAACACTGTGAGAAGCCGAATTGTGCAGGTGGCTCAACTTACCAGTAATGCTTTGGCTTTCATAAATCAGCTTGCTTCTTCTCATGCTTAACTAATAAATTAGATAAAATCCATGAACTTTCATATTTTCCTATAGATTTCCTTTCAAGTTTTGAAAACCAATACTTTTTTTTAAAATTACTATGAGGGCTCAATGAAAAACTGCAATCATAAAAAATTTTCGATGACGAGTAGGCAATATAAACTTGTCATTTCTACACTGAAAATTACAGAGTTATTGTGAGATTTTTTAGAGATTAAATTTATTTCTCGTGACCTTATAGGTTGAGAAATTTTGTGTAATTTTTCAAGATTTTGTATTGCTTGTCTCCAAAAGTGCGGAAAACGTTGCGTGTATGTGTCTCATGTATGTATGTATGTATGTATGTATGTATGTATGTATGTATGTATGTATGTATGTATGTATGTATAGCATATAATTTTAGCTATTTGATGTATGTAGCCAGTAGTTCGGTCAAGTGTTAATATATGGCTCCAAGCTGGTGGTTATAATGTTGTATCATTGTAAAGTTGTACTATAATGCAATACCTTCTCCGTCTCTAAATGTGTGTAACCTAAAGTTAATTTGCTGCTTTACTTCTCTCGTTTCAACAGTGCATTAATTACATTTGTAGTTTTGCAAGTTCTATCCATAAAATATGTAAAACTTTGTACTCATCATAACAATGGGGAGCACTATGATAAAGTGATAATCATCAATGTGGTAGGATTTATATCAGATAAATATAATTTTAATGTTCTAGGTTTAAAATTTTCAAGCACTGGTATCTAAATTAAAAATTATCTTCTAAAAAAGGGTTAAAGTACAAATCTACCCATGAAGTATATCATCATATATGTCCAACATCATAAGCTTTTCTTAGGTACAAAAATACATATAAAGTTTTAAAATGATGCAAAAATGACATGACTATAAGTTGCCAATAGAGGTGTTCAATTTGTCCTTTCCTGGTAATCCCATTTTAGTCCTGGTGGGTTCGGGATGGGATCAGATGGGACGAGACAGGACAAAAATTTTTTGAAACTAGATAGGACAGGGGACGGGGTTGTCCTGTCCTGTCGTGGGTTTTTTTTTCTTTTAAAAATTATTTAGTAATAACTATTATTAGATTATTTAATGTACTTGTCAATAATTATTATTATTTTTATAGTGATTTTAGCTCTTAAATTGTAGTATTATCTCAACAAAATCTCTTTCCTCAATAAAATAATTCATAAAGTCATTATATAATTTTTTTTACGGCACTTTTTCTTTACAGTATTGTTTTTACGCCTTTTTTATACTATATAATTGAGCTTTCTACATAATAATTTTTATAATGTTTTTATCTTCAAAAGCCCAATAAAAAATAAGCATTATAACATAAAAAATTCATATAAAAAATTATAGTATTTTTTTTTAAAAAAAGGGGGAGCAGGAAGTCTCGGTCCCGTCTCGGTTCTGTCCTAGTCCCAAGGGGATCGGGACAAAACCGAGACTGGACGGGACAATTGCCAACATTGACCATTTAGCAAGCACATGGGTAAAGAAACTTGTGCAAAAATATACATGAAGTTTTCATAATGATACAAAAATACCATGGGTCTTGGAACCTTCATGTGTATTTTCACCATTTTGAAAAGTTCATATATATTTTTGCATCATTTTCTTAGCCGACATGTTTATTAAACACCAACATTAGTTAACTTAATAGTTGTGGCATTTTTGCATCATTTTAAAAATTGTGTACTTTTTCACCCAAGAAAAGTTTACGGTGTGTGATGCCGGTAGAATATTTTATTGGTATATTTGCACTTTAATCCTTTTAAAAAAATGAACAATTAAAAAAATTAGTTTTATAAAATTTTGGGAAGCTAACACTTCTTAATGCCAAAATGAGAGGAAAACCTAAATTGTTTTTTTGAAATTAAGATAAATGATAGAAAAGCCCTTTAAAAAAACCCAACCCTTATTGGAGACCAGCCAGTGTCCCTCCACCTGCTAGCGAGATGGCCACCAAAGAGGGCTTTTCTTTTGTGGGAGGGAATTTTTTTAAAAGGAGGTAGAGGTGGGATTTAATCCTATCACCCCTTAGCAATGTTCGCAAAACCAAACCAGATCGGACTGGCTGGTTCAGACTAGAAATCGACAAACCAGCCACTTGTCTGGTTCGATTCGTCGCTTAAACTAGAAAAATTTTGAACTGGTATGAACCGGGTATAAACTGGACAACTTGTTGGGTTTGGCAGACTAACCTGGTGGATTAAAAAAATAAACAAGAAACTGAAAGAGAAGAAACTATCATCTATGGAGCTGAGAAGAAGAAGGAAAAAAAAAGAAAGAAAGGTCACCATCTTCTTTTGGCTATGCAAGTTCACCTTTTTTATCCTTTGCAGCTACAAGTCATATGATCTTAATCTATTCACTTTTCTATGACCCTGCAAGCGTCTCTAAAACGAAGGCAAGGAGCTCTGGACTATGGCGGTATGAAAATGAAGAATGGATGAAAAGAATCTGAAATGAAAAAGAAAAGGAAAAAGAATAGAGAAAGAAGAAAGAGCAAGAAGAAGGGAAGAAAACAATTGAAATACGAGAAACAGTGATGTGATTTGAATTAATGGTTAGACATAGAAAATCGTGAGAAGCACTGAAAATAATAAAAAGGAGGGGAGGAAAAAAATAAAATTTAAAATAGATTAAAGTAACATTAATAATATAAGTTTGCCACCTAAAAACCTTCAAGGCATCAACGGAAAACACAGATTTATTATATATAATTTTTTAAACATATATTTTAATTATATATATTATTATAATTACAAAATAAGTCACACTATTTGTTTTATATGTAAATATTATGTATTTATTATTATTTAACATTTATTTTTATATCTTATTTTTATTTTTATTTAAAATAACCAACATAAATTTGAAAACATATTATTTTAATTAGTACTGGTCTGACTCCAATTCAACCCCGGTTTGACTCATTAACCCTTAACCCTCTATCTTAACCTGTTTAGTGACCGGTTCAGTTTTCAGTACCTTGCCTCTTAGTGGTTTAGGCCAAAATATAAGATAAAATATAAAATGATCATTGGGTTTCCAACATCTTGCTAACTTCCTTTAACAATCTTCAAAATACTATCGAGTATTAAATATGAAATTTTTTTTAGTGGAGATTCAAATTTTAGTTCACCATGTTGTGAGGAATAGTCTATTTTGTTAGATTTAGGGTGTGTTTGGATGAAACCAAACCATGGTTTGGAGAATAGCTTCTGGAGAATAGATTCTGAAAAAAATAGATTTTGTGAAGAATAGATTTGTTGAAAATGTAATTCTGAAAAGTGAGAATGTTTGGATAGTTATTACCAGAAGCACTTTTTATATAGAAATTACCAAAAGGGTATAAGTTAATATAATGATTATATAAGAGATATTTTTATAATATATTTTGATTTGAAGAAATAAAATTGTTAATAAATAATTTTTTGATATATTCAATATCCTATAATATTTTTTATAGATACATCTAACATTTATAAATATTTTTAATAGATTAAAAATATTTTAAAATATTAAATATATCTAAAAAATATTTTAAAGTGTTCGATATATCTAGAAACTATTTCGGGCTCCTATGTCACTATCTAGAAACTACTTCGGGCTACTACATACATTTTTAATTATACCCATTTTTAATTATACCCTTATTTAATAAAAGAGGATATATTAGATATAATAAGCAAAAATTAACTTTAAAAAAAAAAGTTAGTAGCATATAAACGACAGAATTTGTTTCCCCCCCACACACAGATTGTTTCAGTAATAAGAACAGCATGTAATTCGTTTAGTGAAAGCATGGATAACTGATACAGCAAATGAATCCAGAATTTTCTGGCCAATTCTGGAAACACATTCGTTTCTCAAGCGCAACACTAGTTGCAAAAATTAATCAACCAATCCAGCATATACGGTGTTTCCATTACCACTCAATTACTGATGATACTATGATACATATTCTTGAATTTACAAGGTCTCACAAAACACTAAAAGAGAAACAGAAAAATTGCTGGTCAAAAAAAAAAGAGAAAAAGAAAAAGAAAAAGGATTGAATATCAATTAGGGCCCTAGCAGCTCAAATACATGATGGTTTTGAGGGACTCTTCGATCTACTTGAGTTTGTCAGAGTTGGAAGCCTTGAAGGTGGGAGAATCGAAGGCATTAGAGAAGCGCCTGACCTGCTTGGAGGAAGAAGAAGAAGCAGAATCACGGAGAGATTTGATGGCGGAGTCGCCGCACTTGGAGCCACGATCTTTCATTCCCTGCCAGGCGCGCATCCTTGTTTGGTACACTATCCTCCACACGTACCTCAAGCTCATGCCTAGCGATCTCTCTCTCTCTCTCTCTCTCAATCACACAGAATATGAACGAAGAAGCAACAAAGAGCTGTATGCGAATTGAAGATTGAACTGAATTAATGGCGCTTAAGGGAAACTTGCTAAGTTCAAGAGCGAGAGGTTTTATTTCAGCGATCGAAATTTAGAGAGAACCACTCCAGAAGAGCGAAGCGGCGAGCAGAGAAAGAGGCAAGGTTCCTGAGTGAGTGAATCCGCGAGCAGAGCGAAGAGCGAAGAGAGCGAAGAGTGAATGTGCGAGCAGAGCAGAGCGAATGTGTCGACCAGCACTGCAGATGAAGGGTATTTTTGGGTCAATGCCGTTGCCTTCAATTATTTCAGCCAGAAGCAACAAATTCTTGCTTCTGATGAAACCATGGTTTCACCAGTGAAAACCATGGTTTCAACCTGAACCACGGTTTCACCAAAATGCTTGCCTGTTTGGATGATTTTATGTGCAAACCATGGTTTGGCCTTCAAAACCATGGTTTGCAATGTCATCCAAACAGAGCCTTAATCCCTCTTGGTTGAACTTTTTCTATTACATGAGATATGACAACAACAAAAAGAGTGTGGGCCACGGGGTCAAACAAATAAGTAAATAAAAGCATGTAGTGCTGGTAAACAAAAAAAAAAAACAAAAAGCATGTAGTGTCTCATCCGTCCAACAA